AGCACGCTAGTCTATAATATATATTATATATAATAATATATAATATAATATATAATATATTATATTATATATTAAATATAACTTATATATATTAATATATATATAATATATATATTAGAGAAAACTTATGTCAACTTTAAGTGGAGACAGTCGCACGTAAAGTCTTCTTAGTCATTGATGATCAACTTAATTGAAGCTATATTGTGATGATCGCTTCCGTTAAACTTGATCTACATATTCTAAAAACGCCTAAACAAGACACACAAATTTGAGTGCGAACCCGTACGTGAGTCTTGACCCTACCGTCAAGCCAATATAAAAGTTCTATTCATTCGAGAACGTTAAAATTGATACGAGTGGAATGAAGGATATGCAAACGCATGACGGGTCACCCAAATTTGGTGTGTTAGGATTTTAAGAAATATGTAGATCAAGATTCAACGGAACGGATCAATCCATAATGTAAGCTCAATCAAAGTGATCAATCCATGACTAAGAAACTTGGTGGCCGTCCCGTTAGCTGATACTAAAGTTTTCCATCTGGCATCTCTTACTCATCTCTATCCTTGCTCCATTCTGTGATACTCATGCGTCTCGTCTATATGATATAATATATATATATATAATATATATATATGAATAATATTATTATATAATATATAGAGAGAGAGAGAGAGAGAGAGAGAGAGAGAAACTTATGTCACTTAAGTGCACCATCCACCAAAGTTTCTATCCATTGATGAAAAGTCTCTTCATATGATGAACGGATCTTTAAGTATCATCAATGGATAGAAACTTTGGTGGATGGTCCACTTAAGTTGATAATAAGTTTATATATACACACACACACAAACTAAAACAAGGCCTTATAGTTGCCACTTGGCAACTTCTTAAAATTTTAGATATTAAAATCTATTTTTTACAATTCAAATAAACAATATGATAATAGTGAGAATATTAAAAGTCATCTTTATAGTGTATAAAAGACCCACTAAAGAAACTTTTCCTTATGTATAACCTCTAAACAATTTAACCCATGAATTAAATTATACTTTTGTAACCCACCATTAACATATTAATTCTCATACAAAGTCATTCAAATTTTCAACTCATAACATCTCTTTCTCTAGTAATATGCTATAAAAATTCACCATCATCATTTTCATCCTACAATATTTTATACAACTATTAATCTGCAATTTAGGAACAAAAAGAAAACTCCATTGAAGCTTCATGAGCATGGGAAAAAGTATAATTAATTTCTTTTTTTTTCACTGATAGTATATACGCCATTTTGCATTTTATTTCAAATTCTACTTCCATTCAATACAAACAGAGTGATATTATAAAATATGTGATTATTTATACAATTACATTTTAGAGGACAAATCAAATTCTACAATTAAAATGTGATTATTAAAATGTGATTATTTATACAATTCAGGAGAAGTCTTTTTCTCGTGAACAAGAGAGGCAAAGACCAAGCCAAAGAGATGGGGACTAAACTAAGCACACAGCGAGGGTGTAGGTATACAAGGAAACAAAAGAATAAGGCTACAAAACTTAGCAAGTGACGATGATTGGAACCTGAAGAGGCTGAGACTTAGCCAGCAACCTTATTCTATATCCATGTATCCGTCACTCTTCAAACTATGTATTACATTATAAGATTATAGAGCTTGTACTGTAAAGCAATGCAACCAGCTGTAAGTATGAAGGCAACTAATCATTACGATAGGCCGGCACGTACATCAGCAGTTTTATCAGGAGCTTGAGACGCGTCTCCATGGCTGCAAACAAATATTTATTAAAGCAATAATAACCAGATGAATTGAGTCCATCAGGAAAAAAGAAGGGAGAATCTTTGAAGGAATCAAATTGTCAAAATAATAGTATCTTGTGTACTTTTTTGCTACTGCTCTCATATAAAAATGCGATACAAGAATAAAGGGTAACTTATTTGTCTTAAATAAGTTTATGGATATGAAAGAACCAATACTTTGCCAGCTTTGCTTGAATTTATTCGGTAGTCAGAATTGAGCTGAAGGCAGAAGAATCATGGGATGTCCGAAGCTTGAAGAGGAATAGAGTTTGGACAAACAAAAGACAGTTGGAACTGAAGGATAAAGTAAATAAAGCTATTAATGAGAGAGTTGGAACAAAAGGATAAGTAAATGAAGGTATTAATGAGGGATACAGGAAATTTTAGATGAACACAGCTTACCATCATGTTGTAGGGAGGGGGAAAAAGAAGACAGCTCCAGACCTCAGAAAAGAAAATAATATTTGCAATCTGGAGGTTCAGCTAATAAAATAGCCGTGCAAAAAAAAAAAAAAACAGAAACAAAATTGGAGGAAATATAGAATTTTTTTACAGAAGATTCACCATAAAATGATTATTCTCAGCCAGTAAATCCTCTTAGACAGTTCAAAGTTGACCCAATACAACATTTTATTGTCTTAGCAAAAGATACACGGTTCATACAAAAAGCAATATTTGGGAGATCAAGAAGCTACATAATTTTCCCCATAAAAAAGTTTATAGTTCTAAAGAGAAAAATAAAACATAAAACCGGGCTTGTGACGGCCTTTAAACAGAACATTTTAAGACTATTCTGCTAGTGTATATTTACATTTCAGCATATATTTCTATTGCATTTGCCAGGATTATTACATGGGTGTCTTGTTTTGTTTGAGTGTCCCACATGGTAATGTTTTTTTTAAATGAAATTATCTGAAAATACTGATATTTGCATTACCAGCATGATTTGTGATTTAAATAAAATTGTAACAAATCCAAGAAAAAATAACTGTAGCAATCGACCATATTGTCAGTTTTCAAATGTTTAACATGTGGTTAGTTGCTAATTCAGATAAACTGAAGTGGCATATGAAACTATTTTGAAATTGCATCAAAACTGTAAATATGTGTTATCAATATACTAAGAGCATAAAACCCTCATGCATATATAGTTCAAAAGTAAAATAAACTACAAATAGTGGGTTTTTGAAGTATAATGATGTAAGCATGAATATCCTGCCAGATTTAAGAGAAAGAACACGACAACCTTTCAGGAAAAATAAATGAAAATATAATAGTTCCCCTTAACTCATCAGACAATGAAGCATGGGGTTCAACAATCAGAGAGGAGGCTATTATGACTTATGAGGCCTAACATGAACTGGGAGTCTGTACAAAAGATAAGAAAACTGAAGAGATAAAAATAATATTGCTATCATTATTATTGCTGTTGCTGCTGCTGCTGTTATTGTTATTAATATTCATTTAACAGAGAAGTAAATACTTTGATATGGGGGTCATAACCATGCTACACATGGCTAAACCAGATATTTCAAACATTCAACGTTTTATCAGGCAAGCATATCTGACAGAATACCTACATTTCTATGTACTTTACTGAATCTGGTGTATGATATTGTGTTGATATTCGGTTTTGCAAGTTCGTTCAACATTATGCTTTTCAATGGTGACAAATCAAAGATGAATATAAGGGAGGATAATGGGATTTGAATCATTTGATACATTACCTACTTAAGTAACTTTAAGGCATGCTTATGAATTATTATGATGGAAAAGTATGAGGACACTGAGGAAAAAGTGCAGTCAACAGAGTTATTTATGAGACTACATGAGTTTTGTCAATGAATTGGAAGTGGAGAACCTACAGGGTTAAAACGAATAAATTGATCGAAAGTAAATTCTTACACAAGATCTCCTTGAAACGAACAAGAAAAAAAAATCCAATCTAAGGTCAAGATCACCATAGCATACATAGTTTCTAAAGTTTATAGCAAAAGGCAGAATAATTATTATACAAACCCGTTATATGCCATAATTTTCTTACTAGTCCTTTTGCGCACAAACTGTCATTCTAATAGACCAATCAAAAGGGTACCGCCAATCCATATTGTCTATCATGCTCTACAGTCTGCAGAAATACATGTAGATTGAAGGCTTTGATGTTATGCAGGATCCTTTTTTTATTTTAAATGTTATGCAAGAACTCTGACGATTAAGTAATACCTACCATAGATAAAAATAGCTTGACCAAAAAAATTGAAACTGAAATAAACTGAATATACAGACAAAATAAAGCATTGTCTTCCAGGAATACTGTATATTCATCCATGAATAGGGTTTATATTGCTTTCATCAGACTATCATACTGTCCATGCTGCCATTTTGTAGTTTGCAATAGAAGGCCTTATTGCCTTGTTGACTCATTAACCAAAATATACTAATTTTAGATAAGGATCCAGGTGCTAATCTTTAACGAAAATGAGAAATGTGCCATTGGTATTGGAAGACAGATACCCCAAAAATAATCCTCCAAACAGTTTTTAAGGCAGACCTCAAAAAAGTAACACGCTCAGTAGAAACATAATTCTAAAAGCCAAGTATAACTAGCAACCATCAAAGAACCCTCAAATTCTACCTCTATCAATTCCCCATAATTAATAAAGACTTGCCTAAATTTTGTAGCGATAGGTTTTGTAGCGATAACCTCAGGAATTGACAGCCTTTCAAATTAATAAGAAGCAACATCTGATTCTTATATTTCCATAAGAAAGATAACTAAACAGAATTGAGAACACAAACATGGGTTCCATGTTTCTCGTCCTAACCTCCATCTTCTTCTCCACATTTCTTAGCTTCCTCCTCTTTTTCAAGAAGAACAAAAAACGTCCACCAGGCCCTCCATCAATTCCCTTATTTGGCAACCTACTATGGTTCAGAAATTTGATAATGAACCTTGAACGGTTGAACCTATCCTCAAGGATGTCCATTGTCAATACAGGCCCATCATCACACTTCATATAGGCTCGCAAACCAACATCTCCATCTCCGACCGTGCCATTGCTCACAAAGCCTTAATCCAGCATGATGCTGTGTTCTCTGACCATCTGTGCCTCTTGTTGCCAACAGCTTCATCAGCAACAACAAACCACAACATTATCTCTACTTCTTATGGCCCTTTATGGCGCTTGCTCATCGCAACGTCATGTCTGAAATCCTAAATTCCTCGCGCATCAAGATGTACTCTGAAGGCAGAGATTGGGTTCTGCATGTCCTCATCAAGCATCTAGAAACACTATCTGATGGCACCGTTGTTGCCATGAAGAGCTTTCAGTTTGCTATGTTTGCTCTACTAATCCTCATGTGCTATGGTGAGAAGCTCGACGAGAAGGCAATAAAAGACAAAGAAGTTGCAAATAGGAACAGGCTTGTCTATATTAACAACCTTAATGTCCTGAATTTCTTCCCGGCTATCTCGAAATATATCTTTCGTGAACGGCGGATGACAGCATTGGCTCTGCGGCAGAAGCAGAAGGAGCTGTGTCTTCCCTTAATAAATGTGTGCATGAAACACATAGAGCAGAAGAAAGAGAACAACAAAGGATATCTATACTCTTATGTTGACCCTATTCTTGATACGAAGCTAGCAGAAGGAAAAAGCCTAACTAAGATGAGACTGTAACTCTTTGTTTGGAGTTTCTTAATGCTGGCACTGATACTACAGCAACAACGCTGCAATGGATCATGGCAAAACTCATGAAGCATCAAGAAATACAAAATAAACTAAATGAAGAAGTTGATAGAGTCATGCAAAAGGGAGAGGGGATTAAGGAGAAGTACTTGCAAAACATGCCATATCTAAAGGCAGTGGTTTTAAAACGTATGAGGAGACACCCACCAGGCCATTTTGTGTTGCCACATGCAGCGACAGAGGAGATTGAGATTGAAGGATACACAATTCCCACAAAAGCATCGATTAATTTCATGGTGGCAGAAATGGGATTGGATGAGAAAGTTAGGGAGGATCCTTTGGAGTTTCAACCAGAGAGATTCTTAACTGGTGGATCGGGTGAAGGCGTGGATATAATAGGGAGTAAGGAGATCAAGATGATGCCTTTTGGAGTTGGAAGAAGGATCTGCCCTGGGCTTGCACTGGCCAAACTTCATTTAGAGTACTTCGTGGCAAATTTAGTGAAGAAGTTTGAACGGAAGATGGGGGAGGGCGAAGATGTTGATCTGTCAGAGTGCAAGGAATTCACTACTGTGATGAAGAATCCTCTTCGTGCTGGTTAACTCCAAGGATAAGTTCATAGAAATGTGATGAGGTTGTTCTTTCTATTTAAATCGGGAATTCCACTGGTATGATTTCCAAATCTAGTTATGAATTTCAGTTGATCATGTCGATACCTATTTATATATGAATAGATGTTCAATTATCATGAATTTGAGATTTTATGCATTTACTTAATAAAAATTTCTTTGGCACATTGAACTTCAATTATTTTTTAAAACTTACTTAAAAAAACAAACAATTAAAAGCAATTCCTGGGAATGTTACGGATCAAATGTTGTTGTGAAAAAGTAATGAGAACTTGTACTTCTAATTGGGTGATCAGCTTAAAACAATTGCAAAGAAAAGGGTAATTGGTAAAAAAGCTGCTTCTGTCCTTTCATTCAAGAAACTAATTTCCTCTACATGCTTTAGTTATGAGCCTGCCAGAACTTGCCAGCTCCTAGGATCATGCGATGCGACGATAAGAGGTTCACCTTCCAATAATCATATTTCAGCATACATGCCAACAATAAGTAACGGCCAACAATAAGTAACGAGTCCACATTATGGAAAAGTAATGTTATACTCTAAAGAGACAAGAAGATAGGTCCCTTCTACTAATGTCGTAAGAGCTAGACAATATTCGAGAGCGCTAAAAATGTTAACTATAGCTGGAAGTAGGGGTGCAAAATGGTTCGGATTTATCCGGACCGACCGCAACCGTATCCGTTTAGAAAGCGGATATGATCAGGAAAAATTAAAACCGGTCGGATATGGTTTTGGATATGGTTACGGTTTAGATTTTTTATCCTGATACAGTTTCGGATACGGTTATCAGGTCGAAATTGCGGATACGGTCCGGATATCCGGATATTTGAAATGGGCTAAGTATAATACTTGTATTGGGTCAGGTCTATAACATATACTCATGTTATACCCGACCCAAATTCGACCCAAATTCAACCCAAAAACCTCAAATTCAACCCAAATTCATGTTGTTTCTCCAAGCCACCTCCACCTCTAAGCTTGGCCTCCGCCTACGAGCTCCACTCCGCCTCCGCCTCCAGCTCAGCCTCCGCCTCCCGCTCCACCTACGCTTCCCCTCCACCTCCGCCTCCGCCTCCGCCTCTTCGTGGCTCAACTCTTCAAGAAGTCCACGGCCGCCCCATCCTTTTGATCGACGCAACGACGACCATCGACGACGTCCGACCTCCTCTTCTCCTCCTCAATTCCATATATCCCTAAGGTGAATTCAAAACCCTAAGCCCTATTTTATTTTTGATAAAAGCCATAATTTCTAGCATTTGTTGACTGAATTGGAAAACCCTAATTTATTTGATAAAAATCTGTAACCTATAAGCCCTAATTGTTTTTAGTTGCATATATGATTGTAATTTGCATCACTATATTTTTGTTTGATTAAGTTTATAAATTTTAATGAATAGGTATTAGAATCATATCGTCTAATCCATCAGTTCAAGCTTATAACGAAGAACCCATAGTCAAACCCCTCGTTGAACCGGTCGTTGAGCCGGTCATTGAACCTACAGTAGAAGAGTCTTCTAATAAAACAGAGAAAAACCTGAGAAAAAGGGGGGGGGGGAACTAACTTCTGATGTATAGTTAGACTTTGAGAAAATTGATAAAGGTGAAAAGAAGATTGTCGACAGGAAAGAAGTTGAAATAAAAATTAAGATAGCGAAATGTAAACATTGCTTGTTTGAATGTGATGGACGTAGTTCAAGGGGTACTACACACATTAGATGAAGTGCTCCAAAAAGAAGAGACCCGATATTCGTCAACAATTGGTTCTAACTACTATAAAAAATAAAGAAGGGACTTGTGCACTTAGTAATTATCATTTTGACAATGAGACGAATTAACTTACAAAAGCTATCATCGTCCATGAGTATCCATTTAACTTGGTCACACATAACTTCTTTTTACAATATGCGCATTCTCTTCGTCCGACTCACAAGGTTCCAAGTCGTGCACAAATCACAAAGTTATGTATGAAAGTTTATGGTGAATAAAAAAAATCTTTATTTGATTTGTTTGCCACATCTTTCATAAGGTTGAGCTTGACAATGGATAAATGGACATCATTTTCACAAAATATCGCATATTTGTGCATTACCGCTCACTATGTTGATGAATCTTGGAAACTTCAAAAACGTATAATTGGTTTCATTAAAGTCCATAGGAAGGATATATGCAATGTTTTACTCACTCGTCTACTTGATTGTAAAATTGATAATAATTTTTTGTCAATTACGGTAGATAATGATAAAGCTAATGATGTTGCAGTTAAAATTGGAAAAGAACGTCTTAAAAAGTATCTACCTTGTGGCAGAGTCTTTTTTCATGTGAGATGTAGAGCACACATTATAAATCTCATTGTTCAAGAGAGGCTTAAAATTATCACTAAAGCTATTGAAAAAGTAAGGCTTAGTGTTAAATATGTTACATGTTCACCAAAGATGGAAGAGAATTTTTATCATGTTGCGAAGCAAGTTAATGTGGTTGGAGAAAAATGCTTAGCCTTGCACAAGAAGGATTTCTCCTTATTTAATGTTGATGAATGCTTTAAAGTACAAAGTTGCTTTAATAAATTTGAACTTAGCGACGACAAATACATTCATTGTTCATCGGAAGAAGAATGAAATTATATTAAAACTTTGAGTAAATGTTTGAAACACTTTTATGATGCAACTAATCTCCTTTCCAGTAGTATGTATCCTACTTACAATCTTTTATTTAAAGAATTTTGTGAAATTCAATTGCTTCTAATGGAACGGTTGAAAAGTAATGATGATACAATTGTGGCTATGGCTTTTGTAATGAAAATAAATTTAATAAATATTGAAGCATGTGCAATAAGATTTTTGTGATTACTTTTCTTGATCCGAGGTACAAAATAATTGCAATAAAATATTACTTTAAGGAGATTTATGATGTGGATGGTGAAAGGTGTACACTTGAAATTTTAGATGTCTTCAAAAAGATGCATGGAGAGTATGCATCTCTTGAAAAAAACAATCCAAAGAATAAAGATAATGAAAATGCTTCAAGCTCACAAGCAAAGGAAGTGGAAAGAGTTGGTGACAAAAGAAAATCTAGATCTGACAATTTGCTGAAACTATTGAGAAAGAGCCTACAAAGATGGATTTGGATTTATATATGGAAGATAGTATTGTCCGATGTGAAGATGAAACAACGGGGAAATTTGATATATTGGATTGGTGGAAATCAAGTCTTGGAAGGTATCATGTACTAGCAAAAGTTACAAGAGATGTTTTGGGTATACCAACATCAACTGTGGCTTCCGAGTCGACTTTTAGCACCGGGGGACGTGTGATTCATTGTTATAGAAGTCGAATGACAAGGGATACGGTAGAGGCGTTGATATGTGCACAAGATTGGATTAAAGCGGAGAAAGGAGGTAAATTTTTAAATTTTGCATAGATTCTGTTATATTTGGTTAATTGTATATTAAATGATTGTATGTTTTATTCTAATAAATTTTTTGTAGTTACAAAAGTGCAAACTATGAATGATGTTGCTCTTAATGTGGTTAAGCTTTTGGATCACGACGACTCAGAGATTGTTGAAACTTTTATAAAGCACCCATAGGTATGTTATTTAACTTCATAAGCATATGATTTGAAATTTAAAATTTTTTACATATTAAACACGACAATTGCTCTTTTTATTTTTTCAAGGTGACATCGTGGAGGTCCTTGACTCGGATGATGAGATTTAATGTTTCTCTTGCATTGATGAGTCTAATCTTTTGGTTTATATTTTCTTCTCAAGAATATGATTGTCTTAGTTTGCATGCTTTTTTACTTGGGAAACTATATTATAGAACTTGTGGGTTTTTAATTTATTGTATGTGACTTTGCTCATGTTAAGTCTGTACATGACTTTATTTCCGAATTTGTGACTTGTTATTTCTAGATTTGTGACTTGTTGTTTCTGGATTTGTGACTATTGTTTTTGGACTATGACTTTATTGTGTGCCTTTTTTGTCAATAACATGTGACTTTATTGCCATGAGAATGATACAGGTTCTATGAATCAAAGAGAGAACGACTTCATATGGACATCAAATGGTTCATTTAAGGTAAGTTGTAGTTTGTGAGGTCAGTTATAGTTGTTGATTATCACCTTTTAGTTATGGTATTCAATATTTTTTATTTTTTGTTTAGGGTCTGCTGTGGTGCTCTGAGGTTTGTCATACAGAATAGCAACAAAGTCTATAAGGTAACTTGTCTTACTTTGTGAGTTATTAAAATCATTTGTATTTTCTTTATATCATATTCATATCTATTTCCCAAATATCCGATTAGTATTCGTATCATAACCGTATCCGACTCTCTAATATCCGAACCGTATCTGTTTCCGTTTAATGTGGATATGATAATGCTTTTTTCTTACCGATGAATATCTGAACCGTATCCGTATTCGTTTTCAGAAAGTTACTATGGTTATTATGATAAGTGTCATATCCGAACCGAATGCACCCCTAGCCGGAAGGCATCAAGGTACGATGCAGGAATTAGGATACTGGGCTTCTTTTGTATCATTCTCTCAAGCTCATTGTTTGAGAATAATTCAGAAACAAAACTTATGGAAAGTTATCCAGACTAAGAACATAAGCAAATTTAGCAGAAGTTCATAAAGTATTAGGTTTGAGAATGAAAAATATTCATAAATCACATAAGAAAGGAAATAATCGAAAATATTCACAGCATAAACTCTAGCAACGTTAAGCACTCTAGCAGACAACATGTGAATATACACAGTGCCCCATAATGAACAACTGTTGAAGAGTAGCTTGCAGAACTATATAGCATAAGGTTTCAGCAGAGAACTCAAATTTTCTGATAACTTTGAGTCTCAGACTAAAAGATGTCACGGAGATGTTCATTAACTTGGGAAGTTTATAGCCATGATCCCACAGATGCGGACATAGGCATAGCACAGAAAGCATCCCTCGCTATATATATCGATTATCACAAAAAAGAAAAGTAGCAAACTAGAAGAAAATAAACCTATTCGGCTTCCCTTTGCTCTTCATCTTCTTCTCGTTAATCCTTTCCTGCTCTGAATCATCACTATCATCATCATTATCTTCAGAGACATCATCATCATCAATCTCGTCATCATCATCTTTCGATGAGGGATCAAGCCTAGCCGCGTCCTTAGCCCACTGCAGCAGCTTCTCCACTTCCTTCTTCGACACTCCATCCCCGTCTCTACCCCCGTCATCATCACCATCATCACTTTCTTCATAAAATTTCCCGCCATCTGACACTCCTGCAAGCCCTAGATCAGGCGCCGCCGCCGCCGCCGCCCCTACAGAGCCCTTAAGGGCAGCGAATCTCGCGTCGAGATCATCCCCGAGAATCCCGCTCAATTCCCCCTCTGATGGTGACGGTTTTTTCAGAGGAGTGAAGCTAGGGTCAGAGCTTGAAGGGGATTTGAGCGCGTCGAAGCGGCGAGCGAGGTCGGAATCTAAGGAGGAGGAGGAGGAGGTGAAAGGGATTTGGGATTTGGAGTGAGAATTGAGGCGGAGATCGAGTAGAAGATGGTCTTCTGCAGCTCGGAGGAGGTCATCGACCTCCGATGATGAGCCATCGAGAGCTTCGGTTTTCTTTTTACTGTTGTTCATTTCGAAGGCCGAAGGGAGTACCTAAACGTTCTATTGATCTGTGGAATCACTCCATTAGCCCAAACCTAAATCTATTCCTTTATACAAAAGGGAGAACCAGAGAGTCACTGTTCATACTACAGTAAATGCTACAGTAAATTTACTGTAGCAGATAATTAATTAAAAGATATTACTGTAGCGCACTGGTATACTGTAGCGTCTAAAAGGTACTGTAGCAGAGCGGGATACTGTAGCATTCCCAGAAAATTAAACAGCAGATGTTAAAAAGGCGGGATTACTGTAGCCAAAAACACACCGTGCTTTGCACGGACAGCAGACTAGTATTGTTGACTTGAGGAAGCATGTCCACTTTTTGAATCAGTAAAGTAAAATAATTATTGGGAAAATCCTCTTTTAACCCAAAGTTTTACCCAAACTTATTTAAAAACCCATTCACTTTTCAAAACATCAATAGACCCACTATATCACATCCCACTTATTTTTAAACCCAAATGTACAATACACCCATTATTTGTACTGTATTTATCCAAAAAATTTGAAAAATCCTAAACTACCCTTCATCCCCAACTGATCTCTCCCTCTCCCCTCCTCCTCCATCTGAGCTCAGAAGAGATCTCTCCCTCTCCCCTCCTCCTCCTCTTCCCTCCCTTCACTTCCCCTCCTCCCTCAAGCCCATCAACCTCTGCATCCACTGCCCCTATCTCCCCTCGCCGCCACGTCACCCACCACCGTCGACCTTGAAGTAGATGAATAGCCCACCAATGATTTCGACATTGACTCCCTGTAGTTCGCCCATCAACCTGAAGCACTTGTCATTGCCGCCAGTGGACGGAGCTTGAGGAGCACTCGGAGTAATGGCGGAGGTCGAAGACCGCTTGGCTTTGTAAGGAGCTGCTTTCGCATAAGCCGACGACGATGGTGAGGATCCTTGGCGCTCAAAGGAAGTGGGTTCGGCAGAAGGAGGTGGGTTATGTTGTTCTCCATTGCAAGTCAGGTTAGTTCAACTCTTTGCCCACCACATGTTTGTTGAATTTACGCATAGTGTTCTCTCTTATCAATATTTGATTTTGATGATTGTTGGTTACTCAAATTCTAATTTATTGTTCTGTCATTCTAAAATCTCATGAACCTACAACTTGCAGCCTGTCCGTGATCGCTTCAAAAATAACGCTGATGCCAAAAAGCTATTGGAAAAAGTGAAGGTAACCTTTACTTGATGCTCAATTGCTCATAAGATATGTACATTCATGAGATATCAACCATGACTTACATAACTATGGTTCCTCTCTGGACATTATGTTTTAAAATTAGAACTATAGTTCTTGCTTGCATTTATGAATAGAATTTTCCTTAGAGTTGATGATTGATGTGAAAATCCTCCCCCTTTTTGCAAGCGTACAAAGTTACTAGTTGATTATTCTTACTTGTTGGTGTTGGGAATGGTGACGAGTTGTAACATAAAAATTCTAATTTTCTTATTGCTTGGTGGTCCTTCAGATTCTTATTGTTCTTGTGGGTTTTGATAATTCGAAGCATTACGACATCAAAATCGATATTACTTTCATGTATTTTGATTTGGAAATGCACGATAAGTTAGAATTGATATTGCATAAAAGCTTATAGATGATTCCTTTGAAAGTGGTATGAAGCCTCTTATGCTAGCATTTCTCGATATTACTTTCATGTATTTTGCTTTGGAAATGCACGATAAGTTAGAATTGACAGTTAATAAAATTTTCTTATCATGCAATCATTGATTGTGACATTTATTTGTGCAGGAGCGTAGATTGTAACATTTTTATGGTGGGATACATATATTCCATCATCAATGGCACACCTAACGTAACGCACAGCTACCCCTCAATCAGAAACCATTCGTCAATGCACACTAACTTTCCAATCAAATACATGAGAGAATCCCCCACTATTGGCATTCGATCAGATCTTCGCATTGCTGTCACATTGCAACCCAAACGGCAAATCAACTACAGCCTGCAATATGATGTACCAAGTAGTATCCAATGTATCGTGTTGTATGAAATTTTCTATATTATGTATATATAGATGATTTGTGTGCATATTGTATCAAATGCACTATCCAATGTATCATGTTGTATCAAATTTATCAGTGTAACTAGTAGAAATGTATCTAGTAGAAATGTATACAACGTTTCGATAGTGGTGATTTTGGATTATTTCCATTCAATCTTCATGGATTATTTTCATTCAATGTTATGTGCTTGAGTTTAGTGGTTGATAGATATGAATATCTGTAATGAACTGATGCACTGATTGAACTGAAGAAATTTTGATGGTAGGTTGTGTTAACTACAGCCTATTGGGCAATATTATGTGTCGCGTGACCAATTATCCACCTCGACGAGGGGTACTCGCCCAATTTTTTAGCTTTTGATAAAGTATAGCACTTTATGGGAAAGTATAGCAGCTTATTGATAAAGTATAGCACCTTATTATAAAGTATAGCACCTTATGGCAATAGTATAGCACCTTATCGATAAAATATAGCACCTTATGGTCGCTGGAAATTCAGCAACTTATTGTGATAAGTCAAATCAGTTTTTTTAGGGTAATGCAAACACTCGACGACCTACGTGACGTGTTTATTGACCAATCATCCACCGTGACGGGGGGTCCTCGCGCAATTTTGAAGCTTCTGGGCAAAGTATAGCACCTTATGGGAAAGTATAGCACCTTTTGGCTAAAGTATAGCACTATATTACAAAGTATAGCACTTTATTGGGAAAGTATAGCACCTTATTGGCAAAGTATAGCACCTTATGCTTTCTGCAAATTCTGCACCTTAAGTGTCTTAAATCAAATCAGTTTTTTTCGCCGCGATGAAACCACTCGACGACCTAGGTGATGTGTTTATTGACCAATCATCCACCGCGACGGGGGGTCCTTGCACAATTTTGAAGCTTCTGGGCAAAGTATAGCACCTTATGGGAAAGTATAGCACCTTTTGGCTAAAGTATAGCACTATATTACAAAGTATAGCACTTTATTGGGAAAGTATAGCACCTTATTGGAAAAGTATAGCACCTTATGCTAAATCAAATCAGTTTTTTTCGCCGCGATGAAACCACTCGACGACCTAGGTGATGTGTTTATTGACCAATCATCCACCGCGACGGGGGGTCCTCGCGCAATTTTGAAGCTTCTGGGCAAAGTATAGCACCTTATGGGAAAGTATAGCACCTTTTGGCCAAAGTATAGCACTATATGGCAAAGTATAGCACTTTATTGGTAAAGTATAGCACCTTATTGGCAAAGTATAGCACCTTATGCTTTCTGAAAATTCTGCACCTTAAGTGTGTAAAATCAAATCAGTTTTTTCCGCCGCGACGATGGATGATTGGTCAATAAACACGTCACGTAGGTCGTCGAGAGGTTTCTTCACGGCGAAAAAAACTGATTTGATTTTAGACACTTAAGGTGTAGAATTTTCAGAAAGCATAAGGTGCTATACTTTGCCGATAAGGTGCTATACTTTGCCAATAAAATGCTATACTTTACAATATAGTGCTATACTTTGGCCAAAATGTGTTATACTTTCCCATAAAGTGCTATACTTTGCCCAGAAGCTTCAAAATTGCGCGAGGACCCCCGTCGCAGTGGATGATTGGTCAATAAACACGTCATCTAGGTCGTCGAGTGGTTTCATCGCGGCGAAAAAAACTGATTTGATTTTAGACACTTAAGGTGCAGAATTTCTAGAAAGCATAATGTGCTATATTTTGCCAATAAGGTGCTATACTTTGCCAAAAAAGTGCTATACTTTGCCATATAGTGCTATACTTTGGCCAAAAGGTGCTATACTTTCCCATAAGGTGCTATACTTTGCCCAGAAGCTTCAAAATTGCGCGAGGACCCCCCGTCACGGTGGATGATTGGTCAATAAACACATCACCTAGGTCGTCGAGTGGTTTCATCGCGGCGAAAAAAACTGATTTGATTTAAGACACTTAAGGTGCAGAATTTGCAGAAAGCATAAGGTACTATACTTTGCCAATAAGGTGCTATACTTTCCCAATAAAGTGCTATACTTTGTAATATAGTGCTATACTGCCAAAAGGTGCTATACTTTCCCATAAGATGCTATACTTTGCCCAGAAGCTTCAAAATTGTGCAAGGACCCCCCGTCGCGGTGGATGATTGGTCAATAAACACGTCACGTAGGTCGTCGAGAGGTTTCGTCACGGCGAAAAAAACTGATTTGATTTTAGACACTTAAGGTGCAGAATTTTCAGAAAGCATAAGGTACTATACTTTACCAATAAGGTGCTATACTTTGCCAATAAAGTGCTATACTTTACAATATAGTGCTATAATTTGTCCAAAAGGTGCTATACTTTCCCATAAGGTGCTATACTTTTCCCAGAAGCTTCAAAATTGCGCGAGGACCCCCCGTCACGGTGGATGATTGGTCAATAAACACGTCACGTAGGTCGTCGAGAGGTTTCGTCGTGGCGAAAAAAACTGATTTGATTTTAGACACTTAAGGTGCAGGATTTCCAGAAAGCATAAGGTGCTATACTTTGCCAATAAGGTGCTATACTTTTCCAATAAAGTGCTATAATTTGCCATAGAGTGCTATACTTTGTCCAAAGGGTGCTATACTTTCCCATAAGGTGCTATACTTTGCTCAGAAGCTTCAAAATTGCTCGAGGACCCCCCGTTCGAGTGGTTTCATCGCGGCGAAAAAAACTGATTTGATTTAAGACACTTAAGGTGCAGAATTTGCAGAAAGCATAAGGTGCTATACTTTGCCAATAAGGTGCTATACTTTGCCAATAAAGTGCTATACTTTGCCATATAGTGCTATACTTTGGCCAAAAGGTGCTATACTTTCCCATAAGGTGCTATACTTTGCCCAGAAGCTTCAAAATTGTGCAAGGACCCCCCGTCGTGGTGGATGATTGGTCAATAAACACATCACCTAGGTCGTCGAGTGGTTTCATCGCGGCGAAAAAAACTAATTTGATTTAAGACACTTAAGGTGCAGAATTTGCAGAAAGCATAAGGTGCTATACTTTACCAATAAGGTGCTATACTTTCCCAATAAAGTGCTATACTTTATAATATAGTGCTATACTTTAGCCAAAAGGTGCTATACTTTCCCATAAGGTGCTATACTTTGCCCAGAAGCTTCAAAATTGTGCAAGGACCCCCCGTCGCGGTGGATGATTGGTCAATAAACACGTCACGTAGATCGTCGAGAGGTTTCGTCACGACGAAAAAAACTGATTTGATTTTAGACAATTAAGGTGCAGAATTTTCAGAAAGCATAAGGTGCTATACTTTGCCAATAAGGTGCTATACTTTCCCAATAAAGTGCTATACTTTGTAATATAGTGCTATACTTTAGCCAAAAGGTGCTATACTTTCCCATAAGGTGCTATACTTTGCCCAGAAGCTTCAAAATTGCGCGAGGACCCCCCGTCACGGTGGATGATTGGTCAATAAACACGTCACGTAGGTCGTCGAGTGTTTGCATTGCCCTAAAAAAACTGATTTGACTTATCACAATAAGTTGCTGAATTTCCAGCGACCATAAGGTGCTATATTTTATCGATAAGGTGCTATACTATTGCCATAAGGTGCTATACTTTATAATAAGGTGCTATACTTTATCAATAAGCTGCTATACTTTCCCATAAAGTACTATACTTTATCAAAATCTAAAAATTGAGCGAGTATCCCTTGTCGAGGTGGATAATTGGTCACGCGACACATAATATTGCCCAATAGGCTGTAGTTAACACAACCTACCATCAAAATTTCTTCAGTTCAATCAGTGCATCAGTTCATTACAGATATTCATATCTATCAACCACTAAACTCAAGCGCATAACATTGAATGAAAATAATCCATGAAGATTGAATGGAAATAATCCAAAATCACCACTATCGAAACGTTGTATACATTTCTACTAGATACATTTCTACTAGTTACACTGATAAATTTGATACAACATGATACATTGGATAGTGCATTTGATACAATATGCACACAAATCATCTATATATACATAATATAGAAAATTTCATACAACACGATACATTGGATACTACTTGGTACATCATAGTGCAGGCTGTAGTTGATTTGCCGTTTGGGTTGCAATGTGACAGCAATGAGAAGATCTGATCGAATGCCAATAGTGGGGGATTCTCTCATGTATTTGATTGGAAAGTTAGTGTGCATTGACGAATGGTTTCTGATTGAGGGGTAGTTGTGCGTTACGTTAGGTGTGCCATTGATGATGGAATATATGTATCCCACCATAAAAAGGTTACAATCTACGCTCCTGCACAAATAAATGTCACAATCAATGATTGCATGATAAAAAAATTTTATTAACTGTCAATTCTAACTTATCGTGCATTTCCAAAGCAAAATACATGAAAGTAATATCGAGAAATGCTAGCATAAGAGGCTTCATACCACTTTCAAAGGAATCATCTATAAGCTTTTATGCAATATCAATTCTAACTTATCGTGCATTTCCAAATCAAAATACATGAAAGTAATATCGATTTTGATGTCGTAATGCTTCGAATTATCAAAACCCACAAGAACAATAAGAATCTGAAGGACCACCAAGCAATAAGAAAATTAGAATTTTTATGTTACAACTCGTCACCATTCCCAACACCAACAAGTAAGAATAATCACCTAGTAACTTTGTACGCTTGCAAAAAGAGGGAGGATTTTCACATCAATCATCAACTCTAAGGAAAATTCTATTCATAAATGCAAGCAAGAACTATAGTTCTAATTTTAAAACATAATGTCCAGAGAGGAACCATAGTTATGTAAGTCATGGTTGATATCTCATGAATGTACATATCTTATGAGCAATTGAGCATCAAGTAAAGGTTACCTTCACTTTTTCCAATAGCTTTTTGGCATCAGCGTTATTTTTGAAGCGATCACGGACAGGCTGCAAGTTGTAGGTTCATGAGATTTTAGAATGACAGAACAATAAATTAGAATTTGAGTAACCAACAATCATCAAAATCAAAATCAAATATTGATAAGAGAGAACACTAAGCGTAAATTCAACAAACAGGTGGTGGGCAAAGAGTTGAACTAACCTGACTTGCAATGGAGAACAACATAACCCACCTCCTTCTG